TATGTATATATATATATATATATATATGTATATATATATATGTATATGTATATATATATACTGTATATATACTGTGTATATATGTTTATGTATATATACTGTATATATACAGTATATATATGTGTGTATATATGTATAGGTTTATGTATATATGTATATGTGTACATATATGTATGTGTATATGTTTATGTATATATGTGTACATATACAGTATATATGTATGTATTCATATATGTATGTATATATACAGTATATATGTATGTATATAGATCTATATATTGATATTGATATATATATATATATTGATATATGTTGTTTTTTTTGAGACAGTCAATCTGTTCAGTACACATTTTGACATAAAAATCGATTTAGTGCGCAGGTCAGGCTAAACAGTGACATGCATCAGGGCTAAATGACACGACACGACGGTGGTCACATTTTGTGATCATGCTGTTTGATGTCATGACAAAAATAATGTTGAATATTCTCTCCTACAGAGATGAACTTTTTTCTTTTTTTCTTCCCAATTACCTTAGCTTTTTCAATTTGTTCACCAACCTTCTTTCTCGTCTACTTGGCTGTGTCACTTTGCCCATTTACTTCTAAAACTTTAGTGAGAGATTTTTGCCTCAGCACGGATGCAGAATATTAATATAATATTCCTTTGTTACTTTAATTAATTTCTGTTGAAAAATCGTATATATATATATATATCAATATATCACATCACCTTGGCAGTCGTGGGAAGAGCTCCGGTTTTAACACTTCAGTTTCAACAGTTGGAGAATGGGTTTTGTCTTCCATAGCAATCTATTACCTCAAGTTATTACCCTCCTCATGTCCTTACCTCTCACGATTCGCTCACGTTGTGGTCACAGTTTGCAACAGGTGGTGTAAAAGATTTAATACTAGACACTGGGGATGAGGACACATCTTTTCACAACAACTTTGTCAATCTGTCATCACCATCTTTGTTTTCCTTCCTTCAATTCTTCTTACCATCTATCTTTGCAAGTCACTTTTATTTATATTTTAATCACTCACACGTCTCACAACACCTGTTGTTCTGAATGTTGAACTGTTTTACCCCACCCCACCCCCCCACCTCCGCCTGTCCCTCCGTACTGTAGGTGTAGCAGCCAGCTCATTCTTCACCTCAGGGAAGTACGCCATTGACCCAGAGTTAAGGGGAGCAGAATTCGAACGTATTATACAGAACCTGGATGTTCATTTTTGGAAGACTTTCTGGAACATTACAGAGACGGAGGTTCTATCCGTAAGCAGGCATTTCCATTGTTTTAATTGACCTGACCTTGTTTAATTACGATCTCTTTTTCTGTTTTACTCCAATATTTCCATCCCTTGCTGATTTTTTTTTTTCTTTTTTTCTTGTCTAGAGTCTTGCTAGCATGACTTCCACCACAGTTAAGGTGAACAGGGCTATTTCGGTGCCCCCCGTACCTTTTGACCTTCCCTTGGCAGCCAATCAGGCGGTCTCTGTAACGATAGCTCCACCATCTGCACACATTGGCACTGCACCAGTTCAGATGAGGCTCATCTCCTACGACCTACGTGAAGGACAGGTAATTTATTATTCATTTTATTAGCAACATTTTGCTGACTCTCCTTATGCTAGTGCAGTACGTCTTACATAGTGAATATGGTAAGCTGGACATAAGTGGACCACTGCTGTATTGCTTGAATGATAACAAGCCCCCAGTCACTAGGTGGCAGCAACTCATACAGTGGTTTGTACAGATAAAGATATACATGTTATCAGGTTATCAATAGTATTTCAGTAAGCGGGGGTTGTGGGTCAGGATTTCGCAAAAAAAAAACATATATCTCGTCCGATCTAATACCTCAGCCCAAATTAACATATGCTCAAATTAACTTTGCGATTCAACTGTGAAAAGGGACACTGTCGCCTTAGTGACGTCATGCTGGATGCGAAAAGGTGATTATTTAACTTAGTAACAGTCCATGATGCAATTTTTTTTTGCTTTTGCAATGGTCATAAAGTGTTGCATAGTGACATTTTATTTATATAATTAGATTCTGATTGTTGTTTTTGTGTACACACTGGTTTATGTGTGTTTCCGGTGGATTTTCATAACGATGTCCCCCATTTCGTTACAATGTCTTTTTGCGGCAAAAGAAAGTTTTAAGACGACAGAAAAAAAAAAGAATAGCTTATAAGAACACCCCGCAGTGACATTAGGTGACAAAGAAAGAAATATTTGGCAAAACTGACAAAAATGTCCAGTAGAAATATTGGCAGCATACAGCGGTGGTTTATAAAAAAAAAAAACAGAATGCAAATCTGTAATAAAAATAAAAAATAATGCTATAATACAATATCCATTTTTTTGGTTAATGTACTGTTCAGTCTTGGGTCAGTTCTTCAGAAATCAGCATAGATCTCAGTTTGCCATTAGGTTCGCTTTTATGAAGGTTAAAGCAACAGAGTTCTAGCTGTGCTAACGTATAGCAGGGGTCACCAACTATATTTGTCAGAGGGTCAGAATTCTTCTGGACCGGACAGCAAATTAAATGAAAATCACATCATGTTGTCTCACATTATTATTTGATGTTTATTTTGGAATCCAGTCATGGACTGGGTTGACGGGCCAGGATCGCCAACACATCGTATCGGCTCATCCTCTGCATGGACTGGGTTGACGGGCCAGGATCGGCCAACTGATGCTTAATGACACATCGTTCATATCTGCTCATCCTCTCATACAAGTCACTCTGCTCTCACTTTTCGTAGGACAGTGAATCCCTTCTGTCCCTCTCCCGCTCTGAGGGAGGTGCCATTTCTCTGTCTTTGGGGTTGAAGGCTAAACGCCTCCCGCCTTCTCCCTGTTTGCTAATCCACTTCCACGGAGGAGGCTTCGTCGCACAGACCTCCAAGTCACACGAGGTAAGATGGGGGCTCCTCAGCTGGTGTCAAAAAGGAAATTGATCTGAATGATGATTATTTTTGTATTACTCACTGCAGGTGACAATAGAACACAAAATGAAAACATCAAACATTTATTCCAACATCATGTACTAGCAGAGTTCACGTGTGTGGGTTTATGGAAAAACCCTAGTTTGACATTGAGGCTCTTAAAAAATGTTCACCTATTACTGATTTAGTTAATAAATTAGGACATTTTTAGTAAGAATAAATAAATAATAAGAAATATCTGTGAGACACATAATAACAATAATAATGTTTTACCTACCGAACTTGTCTATACCACCGACCAATTGAGAGCCTGTTGATATTTTAGCTATCTCTCTGTCTATCAGCCGGCCATCTGCAAAGACAAAAAACCATGCGAACTAAAAAAACAAATCATTATCAAATCATTATCATCATCAAAGAATTTTATTAAAATGTCTAATTATCTCATGTTATTCTAGACTTATCTCTGTAGTCTCAATCCCTTAAATGAGGGCAGGGGAGAGTGCCGAGCACATGGAACATTTGCTTTAGGGCAGAGGCCTGTTGTGTCCATTGTGTTTTTTTTTTTTTTTTTTTTTTTTACTGTGTATCACAGCTGCACTCGTGTCATCTCTATGAAAAACCGACATCACAGGGTCTCTGTATTTTCTGCACAATTGACCATAACTGCACATTTACATCTCTTTATACTACTACTATGTGGTACTTTGGGGGTGGTTTCTGTGCAATAAATATTGAATGACTCATGAAGGTCATGTTTATCGTGCTCACTACACTAATGAGTTTACACAAGTCCGTAGCTGCTTTATTTCAAGTGTAGCAAACCAGCAAATCATTGACTATCTGCCAGGTTTGGCAACAGCCGTCATGCTACGAAAATTTATCGTACCGGACTGCGCTATTAGACAGTGTTGTTGACAATTTGTTGTCATACCGAAGCGGTGGTCTGAAAGGCGACGTGCAGGCAATCACCGTGCTTTTCTTCAGCTTTGTCAGGGAACTGTCAGGCACCGGCTGATGTTGTGGAAAGATCGCTGTAACGTGTTAGTTCAGTTCTCGGTGGTAGTTTTTTTTGACCATGAAAAGTTTTTGTTCAAGCTCCCTGGCACTGCTTAGAAGGAAAACACTGAATCTACACTGTATTTCTAATAAACTAGGACAAAGTGTTGTAACCACATAGGGTTAAAAGGCAAAGATTCCAGACATACAGCATCAGCGGGACTGATGTTTTTTTTTGTTTATATACTGTGTGTGTGTATATATATGTAGATGTATGTATGTATATGTACGTATATGTACGTATATGTTCATGTATATGTACGTATATATGTATATGTACGTATATGTTCGTGTATATGTATGTATATGTACGTATATGTTCGTATATGTTCATGTATATGTACGTATATATGTATATGTACGTATATGTACGCATATATGTATATGTACGTATGTATATGTACGTATGTATATGTACGTATGTATATGTACGTATGTATATGTACGTATGTATATGTACGTATGTATATGTACGTATGTATATGTACGTATGTATATGTACGTATGTATATGTACGTATGTATATGTACGTATGTATATGTACGTATGTATATGTACGTATGTATGTATATGTACGTATGTATGTATATGTATGTATGTATGTATATGTACGTATATATGTACGTACATGTACCTACATGTACGTACATGTACCTACATGTACGTACATGTACCTACATGTACGTACATGTACCTACATGTACGTACATGTACCTACATGTACACGTACATGTACCTACATGTACACGTACATGTACCTACATGTACACGTACATGTACCTACATGTACACGTACATGTACCTACATGTACACGTACATGTACCTACATGTACACGTACATGTACCTACATGTACACGTACATGTACCTACATGTACACGTACATGTACCTACATGTACACGTACATGTACTCACATGTACGTACGTGTGAGTACGTACGTACGTGTACGTGTACGTGTGAGTACGTACGTGTGTGTACGTGTACGCGTACGTACACGTGTACGCGTGTACGTACGTACGTACGCGCGCGTGTACGTGTACGTACGTACGTGTACGTACGCGTACGTGCGTACGTGTACGTGCGTGTACGTACGTACATGTACGTACATGTACACGTGGGCGTACACGTACGTACACGTACGTACACGTACACGTGTACGTATATATGTATGTATGTATATGAACGTATATATGTGTATATATATATACACAGTATACATATATGTACATACGTGTGTATATATACATATATGTTTAATGCTATTGTTTTTCAAATAAGAAAACCCACAGCCCTTTTTCTCTTGTCCTCTGTCTTTGCAGCCATATTTGAAGAGTTGGTCCCAGGATCTTGGTGTCCCCATTTTGTCAGTTGACTACTCTCTGGCCCCTGAGGCCCCCTTCCCCAGGGCATTGGAGGAATGTTTTTATGCCTACTGCTGGGCTCTGAGAAACCCTCATCTATTAGGTACTAAAAACAAAACTCCCAACTTCTTTGGGAAAGTTAAAATGCTAACAGCTTTTGTTTTTGGTGTATAGATTGTATAATACAAATTAAGAGACCCACTAACTGATGATTTAACTCATTTAAACTTCAAATGTGTTGAAGAATCCTTTTACTCTCACTGTGTTTGCGTATAATGACATTTTTATGATTAACTTGTACTACGAGCTTGCAGCTTAATATTCGAAAATGATGTGACAGGGAAGGATTTAAAAAAAAAATCTGAATCACCTGTGTGTCTCTTTACAAGCTCACTGGTCTGCCTATTGCCATTTTCACACTAATTCATTTTGAGTCCCCCCCCTCTGCCCTGCCTGTTTGACACATTTTCTCGAACCCCTATTTTTATCTCACCAGGATGGACTGGAGAAAAAGTCTGTCTGGCCGGGGACAGCGCTGGAGGGAATTTGTGTTTGACGACATCAATGCGTGCCGGTGCCTTTGGTGTGCGAATGCCAGATGGCGTCGTAGCTGCCTATCCAGCTACCCTGCTCACTGCCTACGCGTCACCTTCCCGTCTGCTAACGCTTATGGATCCCCTGCTGCCGCTCAGTGTGCTCACCAGGTGTCTCGGTGCCTACGCAGGTAGGAGCGAATCTGCGTATTTAAAGATCTTTGGTGGAAGTCTGCGTCCCATACGTGTTACACATAGGGGTGTCAAACTGTCAAACAAATGAATCGGGACGAAAATTAAAACACACAAGCTACAATGGTGGTCAAACAAGATTACAGTTGTTTAAGTCTAGTGCTGAGAGGGCTCTCACCAGAAGTAATGAATTTGAACAGACTGTAATACATTTTTTTCCTCAATAAAACAAAGAAAAACTAGCCATATATTTGCAAAATTTGGACTCTGGAGTTTGACAAGGGCCATGTATATAAACTGTTAACGCTAACTAAAACCAGTTAGCATTATCTATCATTACTGATTACTAATTTATACGTCATGTCAATTCATGTCTACACTTAGAAGCTAAAATATTATTAATTATTGTTGTATGTGACTCGACAGAGGTTGGAGGTCTGCAGTGAAAGGGGACAAATATATTTGATCAAATTGAAATTGACAGTGTTTAGGTGGGAATTTCAGTATGCCAAGATAAGACATTTTGGATGTGGTTCAAAGCTAACACAGATGAGGTGAGGATACGCAGTGAAAAGAATGGCCAGGGCTTAAATAGTTAAAAGTTAAGAACTTTAATGATGTAGTAAATTTAAGGTTGGAACATGTGTTGAGGACAGATGGAAGATTGCTTGGATGATGGAGGTAAGAAATAGGAGTCGACCTCAAAAGGCTTGTTAACTTGGTGAAGGGTTTTTTTTTTTATTTTTTTATTATTATTATAATTTTAATGATGAGGCATGAATTAAACTGAGATAAAAGAATACGGTCCACTGCAGCAACCCGTGAAGGAAGAAGTAAAAAGAAAGTTCAGTCTCTGACTAATTCTATTTAACATGACGTTTGTGTAAAAAAAAAATAGAAAAAAACCCGATCATGAATGTAGCACTTCATGTAATTCATTTACACCTTTCCAATGGCTGCGATACTCCCACGCCACTCGCGACAGCAAAATAAACCTCATGGTAATACCATATTGGCACAACAGCTTACAGTTTAACATCGCGTCCCAATGTTTTTATTAATTTGGAATCTTCCTGCCTACTGCCTGGAAATGGTTAAAGTTGCTCCAGGAGGGGCAATCGGGTTAAAAAAAACCAATGATTTCAATGTCTGATTAATCAAATGTGGAAAAGTAAAGACAAAATGTCGTGGACTTAAGGGGCATAGAGGAAGTAAACGCTTAGAGGTAGTGAGGTTTTACCACAGGAAGAACCAATTTCTTAGGTGAGGGGAAGGAAGACAAGGAATGCTAAAGAATATACATTGTGGATGAAAGACAGGCAGTCAAAAAGACGAAGACAGACAGGAGGACTGTGGCTAGAAGCATGGCTAAAAAGATGTTAGAAGGAGGAGGGAATGGTATTGCTGGCTAAACCGAAAGAAAAAGCTGTGAAGAACAGAAAGGACATTTAGGTGATAAAGTTAGTTTAGAAGTGAGCTGAATCTTTCGAGTTAGTGAACGGAGTTCTTTTCGGTGCTGATGAATGAGGAGAACTAGAGCGAGAGTAGGACAGATGAAGGACAGATGGGAAACCAAGACTGCAGGGGAATTAGCCGTGGGGAAATTAAGGTAGATTTAAAAAGGATGGGGAAAAAAAAAATGTTCTGTACAGTCCTGTGAAGTGAGGAGATGCCTTATGAATGAGGAAGAAGTGTAATTTAGAAAAATGTGATGCGCAGAGCTGTGATAACTACATCGTTATAATGTCTGTCATTATGCGTGATGAGGCTAGGAGAGTTTGACACGCAAGAGTAGTCTATTTGGTTTCATGCCCAGAAAGAACACAACAGATTTTTATTTTTTTATTTATTTGCTTTGTAGCATTGTACAGTGTGAGAATGCGGCAGAGGAATATGTGAGGGTGGTGCAGAAAATGGATGACAACAGCAGGCCACGGGGTGTGCAGTTGGAGTGAATGATGGGTTAAGGATGGACTCTGGGCCCCTTCTTGTTTATAGTGGGTTTATTGGATAAAGGATGTTTGAAATAGAACTGTTTTAAGAGACAGATATATGAATATATTAATTGAAATTATTTTTTTGCTGCTATTGTTTCTAGCGAGGATTTGAATGACAAAATGAAGAGCAAGTATCTTGAGGGATCCACTTAGAAAAAACAACAAAGAAAGCAGGATGTTGTCTGCTATATATTTCCTTTTAATACCATGACTTACCACTAATAGTGTTTTTTGCCTATCATTACAGTGTGTTTTATATATAGAGGTAATTGTAAGTTGACAGCAGTGATACTATTTCCTGGGTGGTCTCTTATTCTAATATTATCATTGTCATATCACTCGATATTTTTAGTTATGTTATTTCAATACTTCCCAAACTTTTTTTCTGGGGACCCATATTTTAAAAGTCACAAACCTTCATGTTTGTGATTCCAGACTTGGGTCGTGAAACTCCTGGGAAACATAACGCAAAACGACCCCCCCAAAAAAAACAACAACTCCTGCGAACCACCTTAGGTCGCGACCCAGTCTTTGGGAACCAGTGCTTTACACAAGCATTAGACAAAATGAATTTGATATGAATTGCACATCCACCATTAATCGGTCACCGTTCGTTGTGTTTCCATGTCCAGGCAATGAGCCACAGACTGAGAAGCAGGTAGAGAAAGCCGGCGCTCTGGGTCTGGCGAGAAGAGATACAGCTGGACTACTGCGAGATTTACGACTGGGAGCCACCGGCTGGTTCCACTCTCTGCTGGATTCAAACACTTCCTTGGCTTCTTCCACTGGTGCTGATGGGCTGCCAGCAGGTACAGGAACACCACTGACTGTGGCTTTATGTGGTAGTGACTTGTATGGAATATTAGGTGTGAACTTGGTGGTTTGATGTGAGTGGAAAACGGCCAATAGTCTCACATTTTAGAGCCGTGGGGTGGAATATACTGTACCAAGGCCGTTTTTGCTGCTGAGGACTCAGGCAAAAGACGGATGAAATGGAGATAAATGTCTATCTATATTCTATCAGAATGTATCTGTAGTTTTTAGCCCTTTTAGGTAGTGTGGTTTTCAATCAGTGAGTCAGTTTATTGCTTTGCTGTTCTACAACGAAGAGACTTTCTTAAGGGTGGCTCTACGTATGACCCCAAAAGAGTCAGTTTATTCCTTTGGTTTTTTTAATTCCTTTATTGTCACACTTACCTGGTACACAGATATGGTAGTGGTTCTCAAACTTTTTATACTCCTGAGAAAACATTGAGCTCTCTGAGTACCACCATGATGACCAACATTAGCATATAGCAACATAGGCCTTCCCTGTTAGCTTCCACCACACAGGAGAGATGTTTATACAGATGTTTATGTTTAAATGTTGTATTAATTGTGCAAGGTATGTTTCAGATTTATTCAGTTGAAAATGTAAATATGTGAAAATATGAACGTTCCCCACGTACCACCGGTGGTACGCGTACCACAGTTTGAGAACCATTGGTATAGAATACACAAAAAGTGAAATAAATATATGCACGGGGGTCCTCGACTTAAGACAGGATTCGGTTCCTTGTGGTGGCGTAACTCGGGTTTTCCCCGTAAGTTTGAACTTGCATACAGCTGTGTATTACATATTGAAAATGCAAGGTTTATAATTCGTTCCGGATCCTACCAGAACAGAACCATTTTTTCCGCTTACCGTTGCCACCAAGACATTTACATCGACCTGTTAAATCGAACATACACTTCCATCAGTTCCATTGCTAATTTACATTTTTTTTCAACTGTTTTTACTCATTATTTTAGATGCAGTGCGGAATAGCATTTCAGAGGCATCCATCTCTGCTCCTCAGGCTGATTCCGCCGCAGCCTCCGGGTCCTTAGAGTTTCCCTCCAAGTCTTGCCAGGACTTGCCAGGCACATACAACAACACCAGCTACACCTCGTGCAGCGGACCAGAGCTCTCTGAAGACACTGTAGGTTTTCTCTGACCCACACTACCGCTGCCTTGTTCTGTTAACAAATACCTTCACGTTGCATTGCATTCACATGGTGACGATAGTTCCATTTTCCATTTTCCGTTTGTCATTTTCTCGATCTTGTAGTTCGTATTTCTATGGGTTTTGTGTAACGTACTGCCAAGTTGTTCAAGCCAAATCAGAAAACTGTTATGATGTCATAACGGGAAATGTTATGACATCATAACATTTCCTAATATAGGGCCGATAATTATCTGGCATGGCTATTATCTGCATTTTGATTATAAAATCTAACTACATAAGAATGACCTGGAAAAAATGAACAATAGTTACTGCCTTTAGATAAACACCTTGCATAACTGACAGTACTTTAAATGAACCTTTTCCTCTTGGAAAAAACAGGCCATGTTCTGCCAATAATCTCGGGCTATCAGCCAAGGTTTTTAGACTTTCACAAGGACACGTTGTTGTTTCTGTGTACATAAGTAATAATAATAATAATAACAACTCTTTGTCCCTTTTGTCTCCTAGCCAAAAGAGGTAAATTTTTTCCTCGCCAAGGATCCAGAAGCCTCTTTGTCCACTGATTTGGCCGCAGTGGCCATACCTCCACCTGCTGGAGAGGAAGGGTCAGAACAGGGGCCGTATCCCTCCGGATTTGAACCGTTGCGTTCCGAACATCTGCCCAATATGCGTGTGGAAAGCTCACCGGTGGTCAAGGAGCCCTTCTGCTCTCCTCTTCTGGCCCCTGATAGCTTACTAAAAGGGCTGCCTCCCATTCATTTAGTGGTGAGTGGGACAAGAACTTTGAAACACTAACAATAGTGTTAATAAATAGCACAGCCTTATTAGCCAAGTGACTATATAGTCTGAACCAGCTACGGTGTCTTTATTATTATTATATTTTATTGTAGCCATCATCACTTCGCTTTTTTTTTTTTTGACAGCGGTGGATTAGTGGTTAAGGAAGCGGACTTAGGTCCGGAAGGTTTCAGGTTCGAATCCACATACTGAGCATGGCTACCTGGGTGCTTCAGCAGCCCCCTGCTCACTTTAGTAATGGGTAAAAAGCCGGAGGTCGAATTTCATTGCGCGCCGTGGTGTGCTGTGTCACAATGACGAGCAGTTCACTTTCACTGAATCACTACGAGGCAACACTCTGTAAAAGCGATTCTAATTTCGCGCCGGTGACATGATAAACTAGGACAAAAAAAAACACCAGAAGAGTCTGACTTACGCTTGGGAGCTAAAAAAACACCAGAAGAGTCTGACTTACGCTTGGAAGCCAAAAAAAACAACAACAAATACAGCAAATCTCACGCAATCCAATGTATTGCGTACAACCGGCGAATACCAACAAAGCCGTCTTCAAAGCCGAGTCATGTGACAAGATATTTGTTCGCTCACCATCTAGTTGCCTTTAGAAATTTGTTTTAAAACCGTACGTTGGCATGATGGAACAAGACTTTCTTATTAAATTTATAGCAGACGTTGATGTAACCGCTAAACATCGTAGGTCGAGGACGTCATAAACCGAGGTTTTCAGATTTTTTTTTCATCGGTGCTTTGATAACAATTCACATAAGGAGGAATTCTCTGTGAACCTCAATTAGACGTTTATATGTAAAAAAATTATGAAGATACAAAATTTAATGCTGAATTCCGGGAGATTTGTCTTTGTAATATTTGATCCATAGCTATTTCTTGATCTGATTGCTCAAATCAGTATCTTAGATTTAAAGCTTTTTTTTTGACTAAGAAAAATGATTCTAAGTTTGCAGGACTACTCACTGAAAAAAAAAAAGGTTGATAGTGTAAAAATCAAGTGCTGATTTAAATTTAGCAGGTGAGTTAGCAAGACGTTTTAATCTGAATCTTAATTAAACCTGTCACCATATCTGAAGGGAATACTAATTTATTTTTCTCACTTTCCCCCTCACCTTTCTTGCCGTACTCAGGCTTGTGCATTGGACCCCATGCTGGATGACTCCGTCATGTTTGCCAAGCGCCTACGGTCCTTGGAGCAGCCAGTCACGCTGTGTGTGGTGGACGACCTCCCCCATGGTTTCCTAACTCTCTCGCAACTCTCCAAGGAAACGAGGGAGGCTGCCAACGTCTGCGTGGAGCGGATTCGCGCCGTCTTCACCCAGAAGGAAACTCCTCCGGAGCCAAGGAAGCATCGAAAGTTGGAACGGACCAAGATGGGTGTGCGAGACACCAAAGCGGAGGATGACCCCGTCTTTGCTGGACGCACGGAAGGAGGAGAGCAAGCTGTTGGACATGGAGTCGGTGTTGCCGATGGAGAGGACTTGGTCGCCGTTGCAGCCCAAAACAATGGCGATGTCGGAGGTATTGGAGCCTGAACAAGGGGCTTTATTCATTTAAACGTTTTTCACTTAAGGAGTGAATGAAGGAGAAAAAAAAAAAAAAAAAGAATAAATCAAATTAAGACAGGTAGGTGCCGGTGACGGGGGATGGAAGATCATCATCGTCAAGAAGACGGCGCTGCCTCGCTCTTTAAAATGGCCGTGTTTTAAATACCACAGAGATCAGACTTCAGATCTTTGACCAGCTCTGGCCCACGGGTGTGTTGACGCACATTATCATCAGAGCGGCTGTCAGACAGTGCCGACTGGCACATAACACAGAGGCTGGAGGTTCTTGAGACAAACCTTGAGAGGGTGAATAATTTAAAGCGAGGCGATGGTTGAGCCCTAATGAGATGTTGATGGACACTGCCGTGATTGTGTGCGTGCGCGCGCATCCGTATGAAGTCATCCCCCATCAAAACAACCACTTGACACTAGAGAGCTGCTTTAAATCGCACCCAATAACTACAAGCCCTTCTTCTTCATTAAAGCTGTTTAGCCTCCGATGCTGCACACAGGGATTAGCTTTAACACAACAAGGACAGGCTCAAACTGGAAAGTCCCGGAGCAACACATCTGCTGCCGTTGACGTTGTATTCACCTTTTTTTTTTTTCTTTTTTTTTTTTTTAATCGCATGTAGCAGTATTATATTTTTATAATAATATATTTTATCCTCTTTAGTGGGAAACCATGATTCATAACTGATGTATACGTCGGTTCGTGTTTGTGCTACATTTCATCCGATGCTGTTCATTCCACTTTTTCAAATATTTAACATACTTTACCTCGGAGTCTTTAGCCACAGCTGTGTATACACAGAGTACTGTATAGATGCTGCTTTAAGCTATTCTGTGGTTGGAATATTTTGAATGGGAAGAGTGCATTTTATTGATTAGTAATAATTGCAGACTGCGTAAGAGAGATTTTTTTTTCTCAGTACACTAAACACATGTGCCCATAGCAGTGTCATATGCTTCCAACAGGACTTGTATTTTCCTTAAGAAGACTTCGAGAATTATAGTTCCCTGATCCTCTCACTGTGAAAACTACACTCAAGACACTGACGAAGAGAGTAGCTGCACAGAAGCTGAGCTTCCAGCTAGCCCAGACCACTTTAAACTTTCTCTGTACACATTATTTTCCCTTCTTCTTTTACCAAGTAGAAGCCACCAGAAGTGTGTGTAATCGTAACAGCCAAAACCTAGTGTTATCAGCTAATGATAACGTCCAGCAGCAGGCAAAAAAAATGGCCAGCAAATCATTTTCTATGCCATCTATTGGGAGAACGTGGGTATTGCAGGGAAAAGGTAAAAGTATAAGAATAATATAAATAAATTTTATATAATTTGGACAATTAATCCGGGCCGGATTAAAAAAGCCAAACGGGCCGCTTCCGGCCCCTGGGCCTTAGTTTGCTCACGCCTGTGTTAAGGTGGTGTTGTTTTCTTTGCTTCCGTGTTCTGCCCATTTTTAATGCAAAAAATGCATTGAGCGGTGCTGCCTTTAAAGCTGCTTTGCTACTTGTTGACTTTGTCAGACAAATGTCCTCGTGCTGTCGTGTCCTCACGGTGTCAGCGGCAGATCAAGTTCATTTCTTCAGTCTCATTCTTACAAATGTCAAAAGGCGTTCCCGAAAAATGCTGTAGCTGAGCAGGTGCAGACGCCATTAGAGGATGGGACGCTAATCAGTAAATCCATCGATCACACAGTAAATGAAAATGAAGTTGATCATTTTGCTAATTTGGTCTCAAAATAATGCTGACAATATTATCGTTTATTGGCAATCATTTGTGGGACAATATACAGTATCGTCCAGCAAAATATATTATCGTCACAGACCTAGGGAATGATGTTGTTTAGTGTTTAATATTGACCTCTATGTCTGTTCACATTAACACTAACTATTTTTGCAGTTATATCTGCAGTTCATGTTTCAGGATGCGACTGCAAAACAAGCACTGTTCCTTGTCTGATGCCTCCAAAATAATCCTCAAAAGCTGAGACAGGGTGTCGTGTAGAACTGCAATAACTGTTTATAGTCGAGGACACTAATCGTTGACCGTTGGTGTTGCTTGACGAGTCTCTGTTGTCAAATGTTGCTCCAGGCAGCTCAGTTCTTGACATTCCATGGATGGTGGGGATGTGTCACTTTAAATCGTACGTATGTTTTAGTATTAATTGCGCCTCCACTTTAGTGAGAGTTACCGCTAACAGATCACCTTACCATGACAGATGCTGGCTTTGGAACTTTGCACTGATAATAGTCAGGGTGGGCCCTTCGACGCTTCAGACCGAAGGACATGACGTTACTGAGGTTGAAGAGTTCAGTTTCTCAAGAAGACCTCTCGCCGTTGGGGGTCATCTGGGGAAGCGTTAGCAGTCGTTAGAAGTCTGAGGGGTCGTTGTCCCGCCTCTTGGATGAGAGGCGAACGTCTTCTTGAGAAAACTTCACGTCCAGTTGCCTAACGGAACTCTTCAACCTTGACCGTGACCTGGCTGACTGAGAATCTTCATAGACATGATGTTACTGACTTCAACTGGTTATGTACAACGTTCAGTTAACATGGTGGACTCTTAGCTTGCATTTGTGGATGTAGTGAAGAAGTGTGTTAAATAACAACGGTTTCCTGAAGTGCTCCTCAGCTCAGGGGTTGGTATCATTTACAGAATGATGTCGGCTTTGAATGCAGTGCCGCCGCAGGGATCAAACTTCACGCGCAATCGATGTTTGTTTTGTGTTTTATGATGCGTCGAAATTTCTCTAGAGTCTCCAAATGTTTTGATGATATTGTCGGATATACATATATGAAATTCTTGTGCTGTTGTTGAGGGAAAAAAAAGGTGAACGACATCCGTACTGGTTCACAACTGAACATTTGAATTCAATCTTACCACTCTTTTGTGACTGTTTCAGCTTTTTTTTTGCCATGTGTTTCAGCCATCAAACTCCAAAATATGGGCTTTGTGACTGTTTCAGCTTTTTTTTTGCAATGTGTTTCAGCCATCAAAAATATGGGAAAAGAACAAGGAAATTCAACAATGTGAACATCAATCTTTTTTTTTTCTTTTTTTTTCTTTTTTTTAGAGTATTCAGTAAATGATTTAGACAAAAGTGAATACTGTTAGGTTTTGTATCCGTTGTACTCTCAGAGCAGACATGACTGACAGTTGACTTCGATAACATAAAACTTTATGTTTCTGTTTGTGATTCCACCCGAGCACTTTACACTAAACACAATTGCCCTGTAGAGGGCCAGCCCCTCTGACAGATGAAACTGCAGTTAATATATCGCTTGGCCCTGTTACCATAGGGTTGCTGCTGCTTTAGCTCTTCAGGTTGAGGGATTAGAACCTCCTCAGTTGTGTCAGGTCGTAGAACTTAGATTTTACTGTATCTTTTCAAGACTGATGAGTAAACCCACAACCACGAAGAAGAAATAATTACTATGCCGAAATGTCTCAACTCTGCCTGAGAGACTACAAGCTGCTTTAAGCCTTTTTTTTGTAAAACAGAATTGCTGCATTTAAAAAAAAAAAAAAGAAACAAATTTACAGACAGGAAACTGCTTTGTTAATAGCAGCCAGAGGAGCAGGTTAAAATATACATTTCCATTTTAAACAATTTATGTTCACCTCTTACTGCAGCTTGTACAGTTCCCACTGGTGCAGAGAATTGTGTTACCTTCTTCTCCTCGATAATGGAATATACAATCCACATTTCGCAGGTCCAAACCAGAGCTGGAAACAAAACTGAACTGGACTTATTTTATTAAAACACTCCGACTGTGTTCGACTCTCGCTGCGTTCTAGATCAAAGCTAGAAGACGGCCGTGCTCTCAGTTTCAGGAAATACATTAATAATGTAAAAACGTATGCTTGTGAAAGACCCCGCAAAGGAACTGGATGTGAACATGTGTTTGATTTTGCCGTTGAGCTTTAAATAATGTATTTTTTTTTTTTAGCAGCGTAGTAGTGGCCAAACCTCTGCGTGTGCCATGATTAGCAGGAGCTAGACTTGGGGTAACCTTACAGAGGTGAACTATCAGCAGCAGACACGAACCCATGGCGGCCGTGTTCAGCATGAATGGCTCTGTAGTGCGGTTGTATTGTGGTTGGTTATATTAAAGCGGCATGTTTATTTCAGGGGTAGTTATTGAGACTGTAAAACGCAATCGTTTGAAAGCCTTAAGATTAATTCACGTGTATGTGAAACTTCGACATCACATCTCTTTTCATAATTGTTGATTGCCCCCTTTATCAGGAGTCCCCAACCCAGTCTTGAAACAATTGATTTCCTTTTTTTTTTTTTTTTTTTTTTTTCTTCATTTTTTTACAAAATAATACATCTTTCGGACATTTTTTTTTTTTTTCATTTTTTTCCAAAATAATACATCTTTCGGACGAGTCTAGAAGATCCTTTAACAATCATTCTGATCAATGCGGTCCTCCCAGTCCGCTGTACTGGCCAACCGGTCCTTAGTCGAGGCCGGGGACCACTTCTATATCTGATTAAAACAACAGTTACCAAAATACAGCGAATCCATAGTCTTTAAACATGGAGCATGTGTCGGACTTCAGTTGTTGAAACAGCATTTTGTTCCGACCACCTGAACAACGAGCGTGAACAAATGGAAAAATATGAGGGCGGAAAGTAAAAACTTGTCACTGAAATAGTTGGCTGCTGAGGGCGGAAAGTAATGTTTTTTTTTTTTTTTTTTGAAAAACTGTCAGTGGTGCCACAGTGGTAGTCTTGACTTGACAGATTTATTCCAAATGCACCTCACTCACCATTTGGGGTCGGGAGTTGGGGTGGTAGTAGAATCAAACTCAGAGCTGCTGCATGCCGAGTAAGAATACTAACACTGTACTTGGCTGTAAAGTACAGGAAGAAGTTCAGCGTGATCTCCGCCACACTGACAAATGCAGTTCAGATGTAAAACAAAAGCAAGCGATGCAGGCTGAAAACGAAGGCTTTTCCATGTGAGTGAGAAAACACCGGAAGTGCAAACCTGTGCATTTATAAGAGACTTTATATTAACCAAGCTTAATGCAGACGTTTTTACTTCGGTTGGTCAGTTTGATGGCAGACCAATCGGTTTTATTTTTGCTGGTTTCATACTGTGTAGAGATGTGTATTATTTTATTTTCGTTGATTTATATTTTAATAAATATATTCTCCCTTCAGCAGACCTTTGTGTCCAAACCCACTATGATTTGTGTTACGTGGTGAAAAAATATGAAATAATTGAATCTTTGTGATTCGTGTCTGTTAGATGAAACCGCCAAGTAAGTTCATGCAGTATTTTAGTGTCTGTCGCATAGTAGGAAATAGGGAATTATTTAGTTTCACTAGTAAAAAATCTGCACAGCACTTCACAGTGTGGGCGTGGGTTTAGGGAACGATGTCTTAAAAATGTATTTCTTTGCTAAGACAAAAAACCCCTTGGGGTGTACTGTGATAAGTTTGTTCTTAACTGTACTTTCTGTACTGAGGAAGTGGCGAGGTGGTCTGTCCACCGAGGGATCTGTGGAGGTCTCAACTGCTATTTTGATAGAACACTACTTTATTTAGCAAAAGATAACAGTGTTCTTGTAATATGATCATATTACTGCAAGTTGTATCTTACATCCGACAGGAGCTTTGATCGGGAGCCCTCTGAATTCAACACGTTTTCCGCCAGTGGTCGAGGAAGTGGACTTATGTCTGGAAGGTTGCAGGTACGAATTCACTCACTGCCCTGAGCACGGTGGTGGGCTGTGCATCGGTAACAATAATTCACTTTTACTTTCACTTCACTTGATCGCACTGACCTCTACAGTACATATATATGTATTTTCTGGGCTATAAGTGACACTTTTCTCGGTTTTGCAACGTATATGTTAAAATATATAATTTCACGTTTGTTTGTTTTTTTTTCAAACTGACAGCCGCTAGAGGGCACTCTAGGCTTGTGTACCAGTATCTGCTACTCCTGTACCACCGAAAAATGACTTGTTCGTTATATTCACACTGACAGCCGCTAGAGGGCACTCTAGGCTTGAGTACCAGTTATCTGCTACTCCTGCACAACTGAAAATGTACGTGTTCTGAGCTAGAACATGCGAATTTTCTAGCTCACTTACAGATGTGTAGGTAGGCGTAATATATAGCCTGCATATACTGTATGTATTTATTAGATAAAATGTCAGCTTCGGTTTCATGCATTGCAACGAATCAACTGTAATTACACTTTGATGCCACTGAACGGCAGCAGACATCAAATGTGGCAAATTATCTTTGAAAGTTTCGTTTTACTTTTTAACACTTAATTTGAATTATTTCACATTCTAGCAGCATTTTACATCTAACCAATACTGAGCCGCCGTGAACCTCATTTTGGCCCGTGACCCAGATATTTTGCTCATCCCCGGTCTATAGAACGTAAGTTGGGAAATGAGTGGGAAGAACGCAAAACTGCTAATTTCTTGTTCAGTAAAGTTAAGTGAATAACTACCTATCTAGCTAGGTGGCCGTTTAATATTCTGTCTTCTGTGACACTTTTTAGGTTGTGCAAAGACTTTTCTAGAAAATGGTGATTCAAAGGATTGTGTACTGCATCAGTACAGGTGAGTTATATCGGATATTTGCTGAGGGTCAGTGACAGAACCATATTTAAACGCGCTCTCTCTCTTTCTTTATCTCTCTCTCTCTCTCTCTCTCTCTCGTGCTCGCTCTTTTCGCGCTCGCTCTTTTCGCGCGCCCCCGCTGGCAGCCAGGCATCTTCTGTACTCAGAGCTCAGACGAGCGTTAGCCGCGGAGAGACGAAGATGGACTCGGGGGTCTGGGGCAAAATTCTGTGGCTGGTCACGCTGTGCAGTCTTCTCTACGTACATTCTGTGCACGGGAAATATGTGAAAGGCGTCGTGGACACTAAAGAGGTGAGTAGTTTACTGTCTGTGTCCGTCTGTCCTCCCGCCTTCGTGTGTTTGTACTCGGGACAAATGACATGGACGCAGAATGGTGACAGGGAGCGGGCAGCGGACTCCACTGCGTAGCCAAAACACACACTTATCACCCGTTCGCGGTAGCAGGCTACAAGTTTGCTCGTCCGTCCACTGTTTTATATATATTGGTATGCGCGTGTCGTTTGTGGCGTAGATTCCTCCCTCGAGGTTGTGGTTTTGGGGGCGCGAGCATCCAATCAGCCCACGGTTACAGCTCGAGCTGTTACAGGTGTGGCTGGTTCGGTCCAGCCTGGTGTGGTTCGCATTCTGTCTACCGCCCACCCTGACGACCCCCCCCTTTCTCTCTCTTACTCTCCCTCTCTCTCTCTCAAACATACATATACACGCACAGTACAGGTGTAAAAAGGGCCGTATAATACATGGAATTCAGGCTATGGTGGGATTACACAACCAGGGCCTGATGTTGCACATCCATAGAAACGATGGAAACTTCTACAGTGGCAAATCTTCATGTTGTTATGTGTTTTGTGTCAAAACGTAAAGGTTCACAATCACAGGGCTGCGGACCACGACCAGAACGTAGGTCATTTAATGCCTGGTCCACCGAAAGCATGACGTATTATTTTTAATTTCATGAATTATCAGCATTGTTGGCAGGCGTTCTGGAAATCTCCACGGAAGGACAGGTGGAGGACAGGGTGTTAATTAATGAAATTAGTTAACGAAAGGATGTTGGTCAAGATGACACGGTCGTTTTTGTTCTCTACGGTTGATGGACAAAATGACAGATGAGGTGGTGCAGCAGAGCGTGTTTTGGGGATGACATTGTGATCTCAGGTGAGAGTGAGAAGCAGGTGGAAGAAGTCCTGGAGATGGTGAGGTTCGCTTTGGGACAAGGAAGGAATTCACACACGTGTGTGTGTGTGTGTGTGTGAATGAGAGCGAGAGAAGTGCTAATAGGAAGCTGTGATGAGTAGCAGGTTGTAAAGATGGAGGATTTCAGGTGCTGTGAATCAACCCTCAAAGTAATTTATGATGCTCAAAAGAGATGGAGAAAAGGATGGAGGGAAGGTGGAATGGATGGAGGGAGACGAGCGTCCGGGTGATTTGTGACGGAAGAATAGCAGTTGTTAGTTGAAATAGAAGGTTCGTAAGGCGGTAGTGAGACCTGCTATGATGTATCGTTTAGAGACAGCGGTTGCCTAATGGACAAAAGACTTAAGGAGAAGGTTTCTGGATGCAATGAAAACGGACATAAAGATAGTTGATGTAACAACAGAGCATAGTCGACATATATATTTTGAATATATATATATTTATATATTTAAGGGCTGTCGGGGTTGTGAAGCTTTTGCGACGTAGTGAACTACACTTTCTGATAGCGCACACACTTTTTTGCATTCTGTTTGTTTACTTTACTTTGTCGAACATATGCCTCAGTGAGTGTAGTCTGTCGGGACAAAGGTTCTGCATCGTGCGGTGCAATTTTTCCCCCCGCCTGGATAACTGGGACGGGTGGTCATGTTTTAGCTGGGCATGCAAGATAGTTGTGTTGCCTTGTTTTGTTGCCACAGCATTCAAACAAATTTGGCGTACTGTGTGTATGGGCCTGTCTCAAATATGAATGTTGTTGTTGTTGTTGTTTTTCTATGTATTCATGGTTGTTCTAGCTCAGGGTAATTTAGTTCCGTCTCCCTGTGAAATAATCAACATAAATTCATTAAAAGTCAGTGATCATTGATAGAAGAGTATTGAATCTCACTGTACTTCTTCCACTCTACTCCTGAAAATATCACGATCATTTCACCCCAGAACCAAAATTATAAATCAAAATAGCTGTAGTTGTTTTCGGAGATTTTCTTTGCTACCAAAAAGGCAGGTTTGCTCTGAGCTCGAGAGAAAAACAGCTTGGTCATGCTTCTTATCCAGCCCTTACAGATACATCATGTGTATCACCTTACCTGACGCGTCCAAGAAAACAAAGAAGCTGAACGAGAAGCTTGGCAGCCTGAGCTCAGTTTAAATCCTCGATCTAGATGGCTGACTTCTGCTGGTGTGGCTTTTGCTACAGTTAATTGTTCAAGAGTAAAGTTGCAGACTTGAAACCCAGGTTGACGGCGGGGGACCAGGAAAGACAAATTAAGGCGGCAGTTATTCATCCATCAAGACTGTTGTGGCAGGGGCAATTCAGCTGTTAAATCCAGTACTGAAGTCAGCTCTGTCCAGTGACAACGTGGTCTTGTATCATTTATTAACAGTTGTAATTGTTGTCTGTGTAAACAAACATTAGGATACAGCAGAGGAGTCGGTATTATTTGGCAGATTTCCTACTTTATATCAGTTATGTTGGTGCATACTGTTATACAATTATATAGGGATGAGCGAGTACCAATACCAGGTATCGGTATTGGGCTGAAACTGGCCTTATTTTCTTGTATCGGTGTTCATTTAAGGATGCTGATGCCAGCCACCGATACTCAAGGGGAAAAAAATTGTTGAGTAGTACTCCTCACCAGAGATGGCGCTATACTGCCGCGTCATGTCCTGTTCAGACAAACATGAACGGCTCCCGTTCTGAAAACTAAATCTGTTTGGAAATTCTGTGAAGTCAACACAGACGACCCTGCGAGAGGCAAACTCTGCAAACAGGAAGTTCCAAGAGGCAGTATGAAGAGAAAATCTTTTAATACTAGTGATTTGCTAAAACTCCCTAAGGATGGGACACGCCAATGAGCACTGAAGGCTGAAGCTGCTATGGTGGAAAAGAAGTATCTCCGACTTTACAGCAAATTATTTCAAAAATGAGAACATTCGAAGATGTAAACTGACTGTAAACTGTTCCAACTTCTTCTTTTCGCAACGACGCAAATCAACATTGTGCTTCACAACCTACGGCATTGTTTACAAAATGGCGGTAAGCAATGCACCAGCAACCTCTCAATTCTTTTCTGCGCCTCTTCGACTCACTCCCTGGCGAATTGAAATACTATTGAGAACCTGATAACATGTAAGTACAAACCACTGTATGAGTTGCTGCCACCTAGTGACTGGAGGCTTGTTATCATTCAAGCATTACAGCAGTGGTACAATTATGTCCTGCGTGCCATATTCCATTGGAAGACCCTGACGCCCCCCCCCCGCACCTACCCATGCCCCCATGGGGACCCACCCCACTATTTGAGAAATACTGTATACCTCATTTTGAGCCCTGCCAAATGCTCGCCAGGATGCGATAATAGTGTAATTGAATAAT